TATCAGGCAATACCACACAAAATGAAAATCACCACAAAATGTTATGCAATGTTGGAGATGAGGGCATTGGAGCTCTCTCGAAATAACCTTGTTGTCCGATTAGCCCGTTTTCACCCGAAATTAGAGAGGATGTCTTGTGGACCACAAATGACAAAATGGCTAGAGATTAACGGGAACTAGTCGTTGTCTTCTGATGAGACCGACCTACGAATTTCTTCATCATTCTCTTTCATACAAAATGGAAGTCTCCACAATAAACGATTATTGTTCAAGATTGAAGGCGCATGCTTAATCATTCGTTGCCAGGACGTGATAGTAGGTATATACGCGACAAATGAATTGGGAAAATCACGTCAACTTCGTAGCTCTTCGTGAACAACTCCGCCCGTAACCGGCAGTTAATATGTTCTCTTTACTTGAATCGAGTTCCTCCAAGTCGAGGTATTCATAATTGTGTTGCTCATGCATCTTCCTAACAGGTATCTCCTTCACACCTCGAGAGGTGGGCGAGCATTTGGTGAATGTGTACCGGAATGGCAGGCATATTCCTAACAGCCCATTCAAGATCTTCGTCGGAGAGACGGAAATTGGGAATGCATCTCGCGTGCGCGTCTACGGCCCTGGACTTCGCGAGGGCGTTGCAAACCAGAACTGTCAATTCACTGTGGACACAAGAAATGCAGGTAGATACGGTGTGATCCTTTTATTCAACTGACGTTATGATCTCTTTCTCTACTCAGGACTTCTATGAAGACCGTGTTTTAGCCTATCTCTGAGCGTCACTTTCATCAAACTACATGGTACTGACAGACTCTCAATTCTAATAGTTTATCATCTTATCTATCATGCTATAGGCTGCTTGGTGTAATTTTCACAGTAATTCTATGCAATCATGATTCTAGGCCCACATTTGGCACAAAAGCGATGACTAAACTACCCATCATCGGGTCATTCAAATGGCTGCATTAATGCACGCATCTCTGTCAATGTATGCTTTATGCAATATGCGCATGTAGGATCGAGGCGAATGTACAATGGCGGCTGCACCTTGTTTTCTTTAGAAAACGCCAACCCTGACCAAGGAGCAAACCATCACCCCTCAACAAAGGCTTCAAGCTGGACGGCAGAATAGGGTGTTTTATCACACTCCCGTCGTCGAGTGCTAATGGCCTGGCAGCCAGTCTGCAGATGGTTAATGTAAGGATGGTAAAGATTCACGCCTTAGAGAGTACCATTATTGATTCTTGCATACACACGTGAGTGTACACACGCGCATGTGTAGATGTATGCATGCATGTGTGTAAGTATTTATATATATACGAGTACATCTATGCATGTACCAATGTCACCCTGTCTAGTGACCCAATGTACATATCTTCAACAGGTGAGGGGGGTTACGATATGCTCATTATGAGACTGCTCATTCGTGAGTTGTCTTGACAAATCAACATGCTTTGCGCACTTAATGCATATTGAAAGAAACATAGGCCAAAACCGGACTAGTGGCTCTCTCTCTCTCTCTCTTCTCGCTCGCTGGCTTGCTATCTCCCAGGCAGCCGTCATTAGTGTCGTCAATACTTCTCAAACCTGGTTATCGGTGCAGTGAAGTCAGAAGACTGCCATCTCGGACTTCACCAGTCAACTCCACGAGTCCATTAAATCACTTTCGCTTTCACTCCAACTCCTTATTCAGGATTTTTTAGACTGGTGGCTGCGAGTTCAGCGTGAAAATGAGTGTGTTGTGTCGGTTCGTGACCGGGGGCAGTCTAGTTTCTGCACAGAAAGCTTGTACATCGTTACTGGCAATCTGTCCGAGGCCTAGTTGATCATTCGTTCGGGAAATCTCCCACTTTCGACAGCATTAGTTGGCCAAGCATCCTTCTGTATTTTATGATTTTGACGCCTTTCAGTATTTCTTTAAATGCCCTCGACACCCGACATTCTTCCCCTCATGGTGACCAGAATGTCAGTACTCCTCTCCTATCCACCCAACCCCATTTCCGTCACCTTTTACAACGACATCTTCATACCACATTCGACCTCGGACGCCTCTTTGTTTGGCATCCATCGGCACTGCTCTCGGCCATCCGCCTTGATTGACACTTTCTCGACGGCTTGTGACTCTTCACTGGCATTTGTTGACACCGTCTCCTCGTCGTCCTGCGTGTCCTGCGGCTCCTCCTCGCCTGACTCTCCACCAGGTGCCTCTGACGCCGAGGCACCTCCTCCCTTCAACCAAGTGAAATACCCCTTTGCACATGCACTCCGCAACCCCCACACACCACAACACTTGTCGAAAAATGGGTATTCACCCTCGCCTGACCGTTTAACTGGGTACTCCATTCCACCTACAACATCACCACCAATTCATTTTCTTCCGCTTTCGCCCTCCTTTGCGCGTCCTCCGGTCTCACCCTTTTCGTCCGGCGGACGCTACACCTCTTCCGTCTACCTCTCCGAGACAGGCTACGGCGGACTGAGTCTGTCGATCGAGGGGCCGAGCAAAGCGGACATCGAGTGCCATGACAACCAAGATGGCACCTGCCTAGTGACCTACCGGCCCACTGAGCCTGGCACTTACATCATCAATGTGAAGTACGCTGACGAGCATGTGCCCGGCAGTCCGTTCGCGGTGCAGATTGGAGGCGAACCCTCGGCCAGGCTGATGGAGCGGATCACACGACGCCGGGAATTGGCCGACGTGACGCACGTGGGCAGCCAGTGTGAACTAAGCCTGAAGATACCGGGTGAGCGTGAAGCACGGAGGTCGTTTGTCACCCGACCAGATCCCCTCGGCCTCTGCATCGACCCTCTGTTGCTACGCTAGACAGGCAGATAGGACTGTGTATTAGGATAATGTGTTTATACGAAGCGTAAATGGGCCTCGATGAGGCTCCTGAGCCAACGTTGTTGTGGACACTTTGGCTTCTTGAGACAGTTGAGCTTATTTCGATTTCGAGTGAAAGTGCTTGGTGAAGAGATTCGAAGGCCGATCCCACCAGAATACGATAATGGATTTTTCTTGACCAGCAGTCTATTAGCTTTACTGGAACATTCTTGTCGACACTGTTTCCGAGACAATCTCCTCCGATTCCGATGAAAACTTGCTAAGCTTTCGTCCGTCAAACGATAGGCACTGGCAAGACTGGATCTCATCTTATAAGGGTCCGAAATCCATAATAGGTCAAAAGGCTAACCAGCCCTATCTTACATTTAATATATTCTCATAACTAAAAAAGAACTTGAAAAGTATATAGAATCATGTGGCTAGTCCTATTCATGTAAATAAAATGTTTGGGTTCCAATATGTGTGCGCGTATGTATGCTTATGTTTGCATCTGTACATGTGTTTTAATCAGGGTACAAAAGCATCATTGATAACGCCCGTCCAGGGTCCTCAAAGTGTAATGACCCAACTGTTTGTACCCTCTCCTTCCTCGCCAGGTCGCCAATCTGAATAGAAAGGTGTGACGGGTGAGTTTGAACACGAGTTTCTGTCGACAAACTGATTTCTTGTTAAAGAAATATCATTTACGACCAAGCCTAAAGGGTAAGTAATATCAGAATATAGATGTTTCAGTCGAATATTGAGAGATGAGTTTCGAAGGATCCCTCAATTGAGTTATGTTGAAGTATCTTACATTTTGTTTAAAAAGGCAGGTTAATTGAATTAATGAATTTGCCTTATATGATATTAAAGGGGTATTGCCTTAGACTTGTGGTTGCTGGATTGTGTGAATAAGTCTCGGCCCAGTCTCCTGCAACACCAACGAATCCGTGCAGAGCTTTAGTCCGTTATGTGACGGACATCACCAGAGCCTGAAATCATCCTGTGCGAAAGATTCACCAAACACACCCAACCAATAAAGGTAGCCGGGTGAAAGCGTATTTCTTAAGCATAACTCTGTAATCTTATTCGTATGAAAGTAGGGTTTCGAGACTACCAGTAAATCATTGTAATGAGATGTATTCACCCTATTT